TATGTGCACTGGTCCTGAGGCCCTTATAAATATCAATCCATTTATCCTCTAACAACCTTATGAGGTAAGGACGATTATATGATTAGTATGATAATATGTCAATATGCCTAGCACAGCGCTTCATACCTGAAGGAAACTGAATGTCGTCTGACTTTCATGAACATTTTCAGACCAGTGAAATGAACTGAAGAGGTGGATGAAGAGCTAACAACTGGCTGCTTTGTCTCATAATCATCTCTAGTAGCCACCGAGAGAGCAGGTTTTTAGGTAAGAACACAGACATAAAAGAGAGCCTAATAAATCAGCCAAAGGAGCAATTCATTACAGCTATGATGATTCTCTCCAAGTTCCTGCTCTCAGTGAGACCAAGAAGTCAATCGGTCAAAGTGTTCTGTACTCCCACTTTGAGCAGAAGATCATTCTCACAGCAGATTCTTAGGGAGCTAATATACCTACTGCCCTGATCCCTTTTACCAACTCATTTCAGGAAGACCACATAAGCCACTTCAGACAGCTGAACTTCTGAGCCCTATTCTTCAAGTTACAATGAAGCTTAGTTCTTCTGATTCTGAGGCAGACATACATAGATAAAGAATATTTGCTCATAATCCTCTAAGAAAACTTCGACACGTGACTGTTCTTCCAACCGCTCCTTAAGCAACCACTTCTCTCCTGAAATAAATTTGTTCTCTGAATCTCCCCCTGCCACCATCATGAACTCCAACTTTCCAATATTTTGTGTGATTTGAAGGACCTCTTATAAATTCCCCACATTCCCTTTAAATTGTAAAAAACATCATAGGTAGATATGATTCTCCAACAAAGGTTTGACATAGGTCAGAGTTAAGAGGATTAAATCATAAGTTTGTACACGGTGATTTTCTATTGCTATATCTTGACATGCTTGCTTTATAAGATATTCTAAATTTTTGACGTATTTACTTTGAACTCTAGATTTTTCTTCCACAATATGGAAAATTAGTTCTTCTGTATTTTATATTTAGTAGTTCCTTTTCTTCTAGTTTGATTGCTTTTCATGTACCCACATGTAATTTAATTTTTTTCTGACCACTTGTCAATTTATAGGGGTAATTTGGAATTTTATTTACTTCATTTTATAATTTCAGCAATTTCACTGAAGAAATTATTGAGCAACACAAGATCTCACAATGATGCCTGCACAAAACCATTAATTACCATAGATTCCACTCCAAATTAGTACTGATCCAACTCTTTGGCCCGCTGTTAACCCTTCTAATACAGTCTAAGCCTGGGGACACTACCCTTTCAGAAGCAACATGTCATGCTTTATTTGCTTTCCCTTGGATGGGGAAGAGGTAGGCAGTCTCCATTATAGCTTCTTTCAGAACTTCAAGAGTTCCCAGGAAGGGTTATTACCATACGCTGTTATCATTCTAACACCTAAAGGCTGCCCTTTTAACCAGAATTGATAGCAAACTGAAAGGAATAGAAGTAATAAAATTAGAAAACAGGAAAGAAATGGGACAGCTACCTGCAGAGAAAGGGATTCTTTGCAAAGGCAGGACGGAAGTAGACCACCTTCACCCATCTGACCATTTGGCCCAGTGCTATCAATGGTCATGCTACCAGACCCTAGCTCACTTACTTGATCCCACCACCACACTGAGGTCAAGGTCATATGCTTGATCCCTACTTGAGTCAAATGGGCAGCAGTCTCACGGTCAAAAATTTGCCCAACCTCTCATAAATACCATCACTTGTCTTAAAGGGATTCATGAGAGTGGGTACTAACCAATCCATGCAAATTCATCACCATTACTGGAAAAATACCCAGGAAAACCTGACCTGTGAGTCAGTCCACTGGACAAGTTTCATTTAGGATGAACTCTCTGATGGTCTTGGGTCAGACAACTGTGAGTAAGAAACCAGGCTCTGCTACTTACTAGTCCTGTGTGTAACCCTGGACAAGTTCACTTTTCAGAGCCTTATAGATAAAACACATCAAAGGTCTCAGGTAGAGTTTGACACAAAAGGGATGCTCAAGTGATGCTGGCCCCAGCCCCTTCCAGAGATAAAACCTGAGAGTTAAGAGCAGAGGGATGGAGCCAGGCCCACCTGTGTTTCAATCCCGGGTTTGTAGTACACTAGCTATGAAACACTGGACAAGTGATGGCCAGGATAATGAATCAGAGCATTCAGATAATGCCTAGCACACGGCCAAGGTCAATAAAAGGTGGCCACTTTTTTAAATGCTGATAAGACAAAGACATTATGATCACTCTCTGTTGGTCAGTGTTTCTCACAGCGTGGTCAGGGAACAATGAATATCAGAATGACCTGGGAGGTCTGTAAAAAAAAAAAAAAAGGACCCCATGTCCCACCTCCCCAACCTATTCAAAACTGCTCTTCAAGAGCAGATAATATTCATTTCTAAATCAAACTTCCTTGAGATGCATACAAAAATTAAGAAATTAGTGACCCAGTTGGTTTTGTGCTGGGTCACAGTAAATTAAGACTTGCCTTCTAGTACTTACTCTTTACTATGTTATGCTAGAAGAATTACCTGGTATCTGATGTTTTTATATTTTGGCAATTTTTGCATCTAAACATTAAATTGATAGGCTCACTTGTGTTTCTGTTTGTTTGTTTTCCAACAGCACTATTTTGACTTTTCCCCCCCTCCAGCCAGGAGCCAGCAAACTATGGCCTTGGTCTGTGGCTAATTTTGTACAACCCCAACTTCCAGAGAAAATATGTATTTAAAATTTAAAAAAAAAAAGAATATTCAATGAAGACCATATGTTGCTCACGGAACCTAAAATATTTACTGTCTAGCCCTTTACAAAAACGTTTGTCAACCCCCGGTAGCCTATAATTTTTTTTAAACTGCAGGTTTCAACACAATTTACGTACTTAAAAATAGTAATAATAAGAGAGAATTTGTTAAAATAGGACATACTCTAGTCGATATTTTCTAATGCACCTAATAGAGGGAAGTACCATTGCCAAAGTTTCTGTTACATACGCATATATGTGTATCGGATAATGATCAAATTGTATTTGGTTGTAGTCAGAAAGTTTTAAAGTCCTTGTGGGTAGGGGTGGAAATAAATGGTGCAACTGGTTAATGAGTATTCATTAAAACTCACACAGAGTAATTTTTACAATAAAGGTGCCTTGGAGAACATAAAGCCATATAAAACGATTCCTATTTGGAAGTTAATGGCTTATTCATTACAAAATGGAAATAAAATCTGTTTTGTGTACAATCTGCATTGTTGTAAGGAGAAAACAGAATCATCAATGCAAAGTACTTCAAAACTCCTGTAGTACAAAGAAAATACTTTAGTTATACTAATAATAAATCATACCAAACATATATAGGTTTTTTTCCCACCTCCCTTAGTTCCGAGTTTCCTCCAACCTGGAAAATGAGTCTTTTCTTCCTTTGTGTGTGTGCAAGTGCATGTATGTATGTGTGTAAGTGCATGTATGTGTGTGTGTGCATGTGCCAGGAGCATAAAAGAAGTATTAGATGTTTCTGCCCTTTCCGTGTCACCCGTTATTGGCTTCTCCTTCCCCTCTATTTAAAATATGCCTCCTTTGACCTTTTCCTTAGTTCTAGCAAGGAAATTGCTAGAAATTCTTGTGCAAAAAGAACAATTAAGACTATGATCATCTTATCCCTGGAAACACTAAAGAGTCAAAAATTAACATTTTTCAAGTAACAATTTCCCTTTTTTGTCTTCATAGAACACTAATGTCCAGGGTTTTTGTGATCGTTTCAGACAAGCTAAAAATACATTAATTCTAAAACACATTTCAACAAATTTACAAAGAAAACACCTTCCTAGGAACACTCAAGGAAATGACACTTTAAAACGTTTTCATTATATGGAATACACTGCAGACACACAAACCACAAGCAGTGTAAATAAATACAGACTGGTGCAATGCTGAAATGCTTGTCTTCCACCACAAAGAGAAAACACTTGCACACCGTGGTATTTTCGCTTGGGATGTCATAAAGATGGGATTTAGGCATGTGGTGTAAACACAGGAGGCTGTAACTGTGCGTGTCTGTGTGTGTGAGGGAAAAAGGGTTGTAAGCAGAAGGGGTGGGACTTGCCAGGAGCAGCTATTTGAGAAAATTCCTTTTTCTTTCCCATTCATTCTTTCTAGCTTGTGTCTGGCACAGTCCTTACAATTACTCACTGACTTTTCATTCTAAAGACAACCAACAAGCTTTCAGAACTTCCTACAGCGTTTTTCACATACTTTTTTTTTTTTTTAAAAAAAGGCATCAAATCATTGAATATTTGTTTTAAATAAAAAGCAAACCATTAGTCCGTTTCCTCATTCCAAAGACCCCATGAGTTGTAGGCTAAACACGATCCTTTGTTGTGTGTCCAAAAATAACACAACGCGGTATTGGTAAATTGGAAAATAATAGATTACTCTGTTTCCAAGAATGTCAAAGTTATTACCATAAATTTTGTTCTGCCCCAGTGAATACAATTTCATGCTTTTAGTGACTATGCAGTCTTAACGATAGCAAAGCCAATCCAATTGAATACCCTTCGCCTTTTCTGTTTGGACACTCCATTAATAAATACAAGGGCTGCAAGAGGATGCCAAGTGGGCCATACCCTTTACGCACAATGGTATCCGTCCAGCGAAATCTCTCCAACCACAGTGAAAGTTGCCTTTCAGATGCCCACCCCACACCCGCCGTCCTCCGCCGGCAAGCCCAGGACGAGAGCAGGCACCTGGACAGAGAACCTTTCAGCGCCCCACCACCTCCAAAGCGGGGGAGGAGGGGGAGGGCACGACTCGAAAGCCGAGTAGGAAGGTGGGCGACTGGGAGAGACAGAAATGGCTGCTGAGGGGGTGGGCGAGATGGGAAGGTAGGGAAGGCGGCGAACGCAGGGAGAGGCGGGCGAGCAAAGCTGCGGGATTCTAGAGCAAAGGGGGAACGGCGCGGGCGAGCGGGGGCGCGCAGGGGGTCGGGTCCTCACCGTTGAACGCCCCGGCGTCCGCGGCCTCCTCCTCCTCCTCCCCGTTCTCGGAGTCGGTGTGCATGGGCTCCTCGGCGAAGTTGACCCCCTTACTGGGGGTGCCGCCCCCGGCGGCGGCGCCCGCGTCCCCCCAGGTCCTGCCCTCATGGCCGAAGCGCGCGGCGCCTTTGCGCTCGTTCTCCTGCTGCAGGCGCGTGAAGTGCTGCAGCGCGAACTCCAGCAGGTCCGCGGGCTGGTGCCTCAGCACCTCCACCGTGAAGCCCTGCAGCAGTTCCGTCAGTCCCGCGGGGATCTCGATGCTCATCCTGCCTGCTGGGCGGCGGGCGCTTGGGCGCCGCCTTCGCCGCCTCTCCTGACCGGCCTGCGGCCCCGCGGCCGCCGAGCGAGCGCGGACGGCGCTGGAGGCGCTACCCGCTGCGAGCGCGGCGCTCTGGGCCCCGGCGGCCCGGCTGGCCCGGCCCGCGGCTCCCGGCGCGCGGCTGCTCCGTGCGGCGGCGGCGGCTGAGCGAGCGCGGCCCCGGGAGGGCTGGCAGCATCCCCGGCTCCTCCCGCTCCCGCCGCGGCCGCTCCTCTCCACCTCCCCCCGCCCGGGCCGCCCCGCCCCCGCCCCGCAGCGCCGAGCCGCGCCGCGCGGGAGGGGGCGTCGGAGCGCGCCCACGTGACCCCCGGAAACCATGGCAACCTCCGCCGGCGGGCGCCGCGCACCGCCGCTGGGAAGGTTGCGGTGTTGAAGACGCTGGAGGGCGGCGGCTGGCTGGCGGGGGACGGCGCCCCGCGTGCGCCGGGCACGGGCCTCGCTCTGCACTGCCCCAGGTGGCTCCCAGGCGCGCCTCGCCGTCCACCTGTCCGAGCCCTGCAGCGGGCGGGCCGCTTGGCCGAATTCCACAAGTCGTTCAGCACGGCGAACCGCGCAGAGCTGCCGCCCTGTGATCTGCCCCGAAACTTCAGCCTCCACCTGGGTAGCGGCCTTTTCTTTTCCTCTGGGAATCGAGTGGCGTTGATAAGTGTTGGCAGTGTCTTTTGTTTAAAGTCATCTGTGCTACTGGTTCTGTTTTGGACAAAGAAATAATCCCATCCTTGTGACACCTTTCTTTCTCTTTCGCTGCTTATCCAGCCTTTCTCCATACATCCTGTTTATTATGTTTTGCTTTACTGGTACTAATGCATTGTCCACTCGATGCACTTACTACTATTTATTAAGACAAATGCACCATTTATTATGAGGCCCTTCAAACAGGATAGTGCAGCAATTTGAATGAAATGTCAGAGTCAAGACATATGGTCCTAAAGCAAAAAATGCTTTGCCTGATGAGGCTCTTATGATTTATTTTAAAACTTTCCCTTACACTTGGAGTGATTTGAATTATATCTCCAAAATAGGTTACTTAATATAAAGAGAAATAGAACAAAAACGTGTACTTTTAAAGTTGAAGTCTTTGACTTTAAAAAAGTGAGGCTTATTCTGCAAACATTTACAATTTTGAATTAGAAAATTGCTTTTTACCAATTAAATGGTTTTTTAAAACACGTACTTCATTTCTACAATGACCATTATATAGTAAATAAAATATTTAAAGAGCAAGCTCAGTTATTCTGATTTATCATTCCACTCACAAAAAAGAGTACATACATGACTCAGGAAATTCAAAGCCTAGAAATCGAGATACAACTTTTATAAAAATTCATATTAATCCATTGTTTATAATCCAGCCTGTAATTGCTCCATGAGTGAATGTATTTCTCGATTTCTGTTTCTTATCAACCTCATAATAGTATGTTGTTTTTAAATATAGTAAAGTACTTCTAATTGTACCGGGCGTTCTAAGCAGTAAGATTTTATAAAATACCATGATCCTCATAGAGGACAATATTAGTCCAACTCTTAATCATGTAAGTATTATATAAACCATATAAGCATTATTATCTTTATAGATCAGTAATTAAGATGAATTTTCATTATCTGCCTTCATTTATGATGATGTTTTTATTAAGATTAGCATTGCTCACATGTGGCAGAAAATGCAAAATACAGTAGCTTAAGCAAGATAGAAGCTTATTTCTCTGTAACATAAAGGTAAGCAGTTCAGGGCTAGTATATGGTGGTTCCATGACCTTCGGGTACCCAGGCTCCTTCCAGCTCATTGCTCTGTAATCCTCAGTTTGTGGTCCAAAATTGCTGCCCTACTAGTCATCTCATTCATATTTAAGCCAAGAGAAAAGTGGGAAAGAAAAGGGATTCTACCCCCCCACCCCACTTCCCCACATCTTATCCAAATACACACACACACACACACACACACACACACTTCTCAGAACCCTTCCAGGAGGTTAAATACACCAATTCCTCTTATACCCTCTTGGCCAGAACTTGGTCAAGATGGCCACATCCATGATGTGGTGGATTGCATTTTCCAAAGGTGACTCCAAAAATATCTTCTGCCCCTGTGTTCTTCTACCGTGTGGCCTTGCCAACCCCCCATCAAAAGTTGAAATCTTAGGGGCACCTGGGTGGCTCAGTCATTGGGCGTCTGCCTTCAGCTCAGGTCATGATCCCAGGGTCCTGGGATTGAGCCCCGTATCAGGCTCCCTGCTACGTGGGGAGCCTGTTTCTCCCTCTCCTACTCCCCCTGCATATGTTCCCTCTCTCACTGTCTCTCTCGCTGTCAAATAAAGTCTTAAAAAAAAAAAAAAAAAGAGTTGAAATCTTAATTCCCCTCCTTTTGAATCTGGATGGGTTTGTGACTGCTTCGAAAGAAATCATGCCAGGATGACAGAAGTAGCCAGCTCTGAGATGCCCTGCCCAAAATCCTGACCCACAGAATGGGGTGAGCATAATAAAAATGTTGTTTTAAGTCTCAAAGTTTTGGGATAATTTGTAACACAGCAATAGGACTGAAACACATAGTCATAAGGAAAGCTTGGGAATGTATGCTTTATTTTAAACAGTCATGTGCCAAGCAAACATTTGGAAATTGAGAACCAGTTCTGGGGACGATAACCAGTGTCTGCCAAATGGTTAACACTCTTTCCCCCAGGAATGACAGGAAAAAAAGCGCTGCTTTTCCAAACATTTACAAGAACCATATTTCAAAGTAGCATATTTTGTGTTTCAAAGTAGTTTGTTGTTGTTTTGTTTTTGTAGATTTTCTATGTGAGGCGTGGTGCATGGCTCTGTCATCAATGGCAATGCCCGGGTCATGTGGCTGTCATTTCTTTAGGGGTATAGAAGTGAGTCAGGCATGAAATGCATAATTGGATTAGATGACCTATATGGTCTCTCCCATCCTGGGAGATAGAAATGTAGAATTTCCTGGGATATTCTACAACAGTTTAATATTAAAAGAAGACGTGAGATTTAAAACATCTCTGCAAGCAGCTCTCTGATAACAATTTTTATTTGCATCAATTCTTAAATCAGTAACCATGACCTGAAAAATTAAAGCTTGATCCTGGTAGTCCTATTATGTTAATGTTCTCAGAACCAACGTTCACTTCTAAACTCCTATTCTGGCCTTTGTTCCCTACCCCATATCTATTTGGGTAATATGTTGTGATTTCCTTTGCTTTTATTTTCGGAATATTTCCTTCCAAACCTTGGAGTGCAGTGACAGTGGCCTATGGGGACTACTTATCTTTGGATTCTGTAAAAGAACATCACTGAAATTGATTCTTTGGTTGTTGATTTACAAAGCAATTTTCACTAGTTTCTCAGAGAAGCAGAAGCAATTGCAAAAGAACTCCAAGAGTTCAGCATTGGAATGAAATAAGAATGCTACCCAATTTGTGTTCACACATGAAAAATTAAATAGATATCGGACAGAGACATCAGTTGGTTTTATATGCAGCTGCCAACACAGGATGACAGCATGGACAAGCCATAGTTTAGGCAAGCTTTATGATGGGTAGTCATAACTGTGACCCATCAATCAGACAGTGTTTCTTGCCAATAGTTAATTTGTATTCTGATCACGTCTCTTTGGTTAAAGAAATATATACCCACTCGAGACCAAAAGACAAATGGAAAGGACACGGGGGGGTTGTGCTTAGACAGAGCCCACTGTGGCCCTCTCTCTCCATTTTATATACCTTTAGCAGTTCAGCACCAACTATGGTTTTGGTGTCTCTAGTTCATATCCTGAAGAAAGGAAATCCAGTTAGTTTGGTCTTGACCATCCAGTGGATGGGCTGGCCTTGTGTGAGAGGTTCTCTCCTGATCCAGTCAGTGTGGCCAGTGGCGTGCAGGGTAAAGGGTTGGGTAGCATAAATAAATACATATTTATTAGTGCAAGACCTACCTCTTCAGCAAACAGGAAAGTCCCAAACATGGGCACTGTCGGGGGTATAGGCACCTTCATGACTTATGAAAGATGGCCACCTCTTGGCCGGAAATCTTGGAAACGTTTGGACTAAGACTAAATAAAATGATTCCTTTCTAGATACAGCTTTGTACCCCCAGCTTTTCAGATGCAGTAGGTCAGAAGTGGGGCCTGGGAATTTGCATTTCTGTCAGACTCCCAGGTGATGCTTCTGCTGCGGGTCTGGGGACCACATATGGGGATCCACTCCACTCAATTCCCCAGAGGGGAGCTTATACTGAGAAGACAACTGCTTGAAGTAACTTTTCTGCTTATCATAAAAGTATAAGTTTTTCTCTGGCTAAATGAAGACTAAATGCAACTTCATAATTCTGTTCTCCTTTAAGGAGTCTTGTACACTAAAGAGGTTCTCAAAAGCAACAGAGAATATATCCTTAAATGCTACATTTCATAAATAGAATATGGGTTTCCTCTTAAGGTGGAGGTCGGGCTCACAAGTTTATCTCTGCTTCCTGAAGTTCCACTGAAACCATGGCTAAAGGCATGGGGAAGATAAAACAAAATTATAAACTCATAAGGACAAAAGAACAAGAGACTTATAATAAAAATTAAAAATAATAATAAGAAATTTTAAATTATTTAGCCTTAAAAAAGAAGGGAATTCTGACATATACTACAACATGGATGAACCTTGAGGACATGATGCTAAGTGAAATAAGCCAGTCAAAAAAGACAAACTGTATGAATCCACTTAAATGAGGCACTTAGAGCAGAGTCATAGAAACAGAAAGTAGAACGGTGGCTTTCAGGAGCTGAGGGGGGAGGAAATGGGGAGTTGTTTAATGGGTGAAGAGTTTCAGTTTTGCAAGATGAGAAACTTCTGAGGTTGGTTGGGCAAGAATGTGAGTATACTTAACATGACAACTACAGACTAAAAAATGGTTAAGATGGTAAATTTTGTTATATGTAATTTATGACAATTAAAAATTTTTTTAATTGTTTAATTTTTAGAAAAGGAACAGGAAGGGGGCACCTGGGTGGCTCAGTCAGTTAAGCGTCTGCCTTCGGCTCAGGTCATGATCTCGGGGTCCTGGGATGGAGCCCCGTGTCAGGCTCCCTGCTGAGCGGGGAGTCTGCTTGTCCCTCTCCCTCTGCCCCTCCCCCTGCTCGTGTTCACTCGCTCTCTCAAATAAATAAATAAAACTTAAAAAAAGAAAAGGGAA